TATATATATATATATATATATATATATATATATATATACTGTATCTGGCATTTATTCTTCTCTAGCATGAACAGTTGCTAAATCAGCAGTGTATGTAAAATGAATAGTTAATAACATGGACATTGAATACTAAATACCATGTTGAATGGCACTCTGTAAAACTTCATAGCATGCACACCTTAAACCTCACCCATATGCATAGCTAAATAGTACTGTTAAGAAAAGTATACTTCAATTTAGTATTAGTATTTTTTTATTTATTAGTATTAGTAAAAGTATGGAGTATTTTTTAGAAATAAAATGAATCATTTCATTAAACTATGCAGTTTTCAATTGAAAACTAGTACATAGCCATGTCATCCCTCACTTAGACAAAATGGTGATTGGTTTATGTTTTCTGTCTTTGGTTTTACCTTTTTTAGTGTTGAATTTGACATTTGTTTTAATTTTATAATGTGCATTTTATTGAGTTTGGTTCCTGCATCAGAATTTGTGCTCTTTACTGTGAGTGGTTAACAGATGTTGGGTTTGTTTCAGACTAAGATAAGCTTATTAGTAACCTGATATTATTGTGATACAAAGTTTTACTTGCTTTGTTAACATGTGGCATTTCATTTATGATTTTTCACAGAGAAAAGGAAAAATGCCTTTTTCTTTGGAATTATTTCTAAAAGGCAAATTCTATCTACAGTAGCCTTTGCGAGTTATCTTATTTTTGATAGTTTGGTTTAGTTAATTGATTTATTAGATTTTATTGATTTAGATTAATTTCTTATTTAGAATGAATTTGTTTTTGGCTTTTACGCAGTTTTTTATATGTACTTGTGTTATTTGCATTTTATGCTAATTCCAGAAGTGTACCTTCAGGTGTCACTTTTTATCTTAGTTGTTTTAATGTGTGTTATATGTTCGGCTTGTTTGAGCCATTATGTTAACATGTTTCCTTTACTAGGTGTCACCAGGTTTTCTCTGAAGGGATAGTGTTATGGTGTTTTGCTGTATTCATCTAAAATAATATACCATATTTTTTGGAATATCGGACGCACTGGTGTATAAGACTCACCGTTATTTTGAAGACAAAGTTTTGGGGTAAAAAAGCTACATTTGAAAGATTTTTATCGAACAAAAATTCAGTTTGATACTTTAAAAATTAGTATATATATTGTTCTAAACACAAAAGAGCTCAAAACATCAAAATAAGAAAATACCGTAAATCAAAAAAAGGTTTACTGTTATTTAGTTTGGTTCAAAACCTACAAAATCTTCGTTGCTTTCACTGTAATTTATTCTTTTTATTATTTAGGGAGCATTTAA